GGTTTCCTGACCTGGTGCAAGGTAACTGCTCAATAAATGGACATGAACTGAGAGAGAAGGGGTTAATTCCTTGCTCCCATTCTTGCGCTTCACTCCCAGGGGACTGTCCTGTACCTTTCTAATACCCTCTGGGGCCCTCCAAGTCCCAGCTCCCTGGCTCTTTGACCTGCTGCTCCCCGGAGACCCCGACTCAAATGTCCAGCCACCTGAGTCTACTCCCCAGCAGTGTCCTCAGAACAGTTCCCTACCCCCCACCTAGGAACCCCCAGGTCTCCTCATCCTGACTTGTACCTTGTTATCTCCCCAAAGGGATTTTGCCTCCTTTTGCTGTTCTTTAGGCCATTGTCAAGAAGAATTTTTAAGGTATAAAGAGGGTAAGCAGGGAGACATCCCCCTCCCCAAGCTCTTTGTGCCTCACTCTGGAGATGTTTGATGCATTTATGAGCCCATGCCTATTTATTCAAATTTCCCTCCCTTTTTAGTCTTTTTTATTACCCAAATGGCAGCATCTTTTTCTCTGCTGTATAGTATTCCACCATGGCCTAAACATGCCTGTAATGGGATGGACTGCAGGGGGCCTCCTGTGCAAGTTTCTCCGGTACATTTCCAGGTAGGAAGTTGTGGGGTCAAGGTTGCAGCCTTGGTAAATTGTCCTCCACTGGTTCCTGCTTTCGGTGGCAGAAAGTGTCCATGTCCCCTGCAGTTATCAACCACTCGCTGCCAGTTAGGTGGGAGATGGACACTCTCTGTGTCTGATTAGCAACATTCAGTCAGAAATTGCCAGATCTGGGATGTCTCTCACCTGCCCTGAAACACTCATGGCTCCCGATATCTTGGGGATAAACCCTCCCTACCCTCACTCAGGGCCTCTGCTGAGGGCTGGACTCACCACAGGCTGGGACCCACCCGCCTGGAGCTCCAGTCCCTTGGAAAGCCAAAGTCATTGCCCTTAACTAGCCTTTGTTTCTGCGCCTTCGCCCAGGCTGCTAGTCCTGCCCAGGCGTCTCCATTCGTCCAGGGTCCACAACAGACAACCCCTGCCCTGCTGCGCTCCCAACGCCTTCCTTCGGCCCTGGTCCCCTCCTGCGTCTCACCCTGACAGCGCCCTGGGGAGCGGGGGACGAGGGGGGAGGATGCTGCGCTGGTGAATGAAGGGCGCGCAGGCAGGGAGAGCGGCCGCTGGAGAGGTGGGAAGGCGGGGACAACGGGGGGACAAGGGGTATAAACGCGGGGCCGCTGCGTCGCCAGCATTGGAGCCGCTTAGCTCAACGGAGCCGCCCTCCAGACCCCGCGGCCTCCGGCAGAGACCCTTCCCGGACTCCGCGGGCGCATCCCCAGCAGGCGGCAGAGAGAAGGGTCCCAGCGGCGGTTCCGGGGCGCAATCCAG